CTCCCCCCACCTTATCCCACCTCACTAGTTCCGTGCTTCGAGCATGAACTGAGTGTTCTGAGTCCTAAGGACTGTGCTAAGCATTGGGAATATACAAGTAAGGATCAGGCAGGGGCCTCTGCCTCGTACAGGTAGTCATAATCTGACTTGGAGCATCCCGCCATTGTCATTACCCACTGGTGCCAGGCACACAGGTGCATTCTTCACTGACATTGTCCTATATGGGAGGAAACCCAGGAAATGGGGAGAAGACTATGTCTGTCACTCAACCACAAACCTTTATTAAGATTACCCCATGCCAGCCACAGTGCCAGATGCAGAGTGGAAAGACCCAGTGGAGATCCACCCTGCGGCTCCCTGGGTCAAAGCTGGCTGGCTTCTGGGTCTCTCTGTTCTTCCCAGGGCTGGCCCAAGCAGGGAAGGATCCCTGGGCTTCCTAAGCATCCAAGAGGAGCCAGGGTTGGGTCTGCCTCTCCAGACAACGGCTTCCCCTTTCCCCAGCACACTGCTGGAGGGGGCTGGGACCGTCAGAACTAATTAAGCACTCTAATGGAATGAAACAGTTTTGCTGGAATTTAGCCAGGTGGGAGGAATCTGTACTTTTCTAGATGGAGAAATGCTGAGTGCCAAGAAGTCTTGCCAGCTGGACCCTGAGCTAGTGCGTGCGTGCGTGTGTGCGTGCGCGTGCACACGCTCATGCTATCTCTAGATGCAGACTGGGTCTCTATCCCAGTAGCCTTGAGTAAAGAGGGCTCTGGGGGGGGGTCCATTTAGCTGGTCCTGGTCCTGTGACTCCCATGAATACAGTTCTACAGGCAGAGGCCACGTGGGACCCCATGTCATTTTCTACCCTTGGTCCAACCATAGGCCCAGCTCAGTCTCCCAGAGCTCAATGCTGCTCCTTAGGCCTGAAATCTCTCAAGGAGAATGTACCTGGGAGATCGCACTCCACTCCCTGCCAGCCCTCTGACTCTGAGTCCATGATTTATGAGGCTCTAAGTCTTGGCCAGGCCTGAGCTTGTGGCCTGCATCCTTCTGGTCTCGTCCCTTTAAGAGCTGGGACATCAGAGTCCAACTCCTGAGTTCCCCAGAGCCCCACATACCCTTCCCTAGGATTTTTCAGAGCCACCCAACCCTGCCTTCTGCCCCCGTGCAGAACCATTACAGTGGACCTCCACAAGGCCCCGAGGGCTGTCCTCCATGCTGGGCTCTCCCCAGGCCTCTCCTGGGAAGGCTCTTGGCATTTGATTTGGAGCCTGTTAGTCTCTGCAGGCTGCTTGCAGGTGGGGGTGGGAGGCAGGGTTCAATGGACTGATAAGCAAAACAGGAGCCTTCCAGCCTCCTCTGGCTCTCTTCTTTAGTGCCTCCATGAGAGGGAGGGAAAGGCTCTATCACCTTCCCCCCAGTGATGATGGTTGATAAAGCAATTCAGTTAATTGGGCTGGGGAGCAGGGCAGGCTGGGAAAGGATGCTGGCTCCTTGACCTGGGCCTCAGGGAGGAGGGGTCAATCCCTGGCCAGAGCTCCGAATGCCAAAAGGGCTCCGGAGATGTGAATATCAATGGGGAGGTCCTTGCTTGATAGCTGTGGGACCCGCTGCTAGGCCTGGAACCCCTCAAAACAAGTAGAGTCCAGAGCAGAAAGATGGAGAGGATACTGGATGGCTCCTGTCACTCCAAAGTGGCTGAGCCCCACTCCAAGCCCCAGTAGGGCAAGGGCAAGGGCATATGGCTTTGATGCCAGGCTCTCCAGCTTTGGGCGGGCAGGGCCGGCCTCAGCTCTCAGAGACCAAGGAAGGGCCTTATTTGAGGGGCTTGCCAGCCCACCCGTGTCACTCTGGGAGCAAACGCTGCCCTCTTTTCCTACGCGTGTGCCCCACCTTTATTCCTGGTGAGGGGAACCACTGTGGCTGCCCCTTTAGTGTGGACTAGTGCCCAGACAGATGTTCTTTTCTGACTACAAGACAAAACCACGGGGGCCCGGGAAGGAATGTGGAGAAAAGGTGACAATGGAGGGAAAGAAGCTTGTGGAATTAGGAGTTTCCAAATGTGGCTATTTCACAGCCTTGCTTAAGCCTGCCGGTTATCGGGGTTGGAGGAGTGGGAAAGGGCAAGAACAGACAGTAGGCTGGGAACTGACAAGAAGCCCAGAATCCACTGTCACCCCAAGCCTATAACTCCCTTTTCTCCTTATCCCCACAGCCCAGAGTGGAGGTGAAATCTGGAGCAGGGATTCCTAGCACCACCAGGGGGCAACACCCACCCACCCACAATAGGCTGTCCACAGGGCAGGCTGGGCAGGAGGCTCTCTACTCCCTCCTGGGCTCTGTACTTTGGGGAAATAGCGTGACCTCATACACGCAGAACTAATAGAGATGAGCCTTCTGATGCCAGCTGCAACTGAAGGCCCCAGAAAATTCCAGAAAGGCCAGGTGACAGGTTAGCTCAGAGCTCTAGGATAAAACCTTCAGCAGGTGGTGAGGACTTCTCTGGGGCTTCTGTCCTGAGGCTGAGCTCCCATCTTCAGGAGCCGGTCAGTGCACTGAATCACGGACCCTCCCATCTCCTGCACTTTGACTCACTGCCTCTCCCAGGCTGGGCCTTCTGTTTTCCCTGGTTCTTCCTGGGTTCCCCTACCCAAACCCAGCTTTTTGATCCCCCCACCCCTGCCCAGGCCTTCTATTGGCCTGGTAGCTTTCTCCCTCCACCCATCTCCCCACATGCTTATCACCATCCACAAACACTGCAGAAGGGAAGCACCAAGAGGGCAGAGATTTGCTGGGATCTGGGGGGGCGGAGGGGAAGTGGAGAGGGGAGGGCTGTTTTATTCATTGATTTCCAGTGCCTGAACAGCTTATGGCACACAGTAGGTACTCAAGAAATATTTACTGGAGGAACAAATGACTCAGCTATGGGATGCTAGGATTTTTTTTTCCATTCCTCCCACCCCACTCCCATCAATTTCTCCCTCTTCTTAGAATGACTGAGTTCAGCCAGCCTGAAAAATGCAAAGTGGGGGAGACCCCAAGGGAGTCTGCCAGGACACACCCAGATAGCATGTTAAAGCCATTCATCACAGTCAAAATCCTTGCTATGGCTCTTCCTTTCTCACTCTAGCTTCTGGGTCTTCTCTTCCCAGTCACACTTGGGATATTTCTTCTTTGCTGCAGCAAACTCAAAGCCAGCCAAACTCTGAAATGCAGACATTAGGGACTGGACACAAAAGAGGTATCAACAAATGTGTGTTTCTGGCTGCAGTCCAAGATGGTACCCACCTTCTCTGCATATTAGTACGGATCATCAAAGACCACGGTCCCTTTGGTTTTCTGACCTCATTAATGAGACTTTTGCTGACAATCCTTCGCATTTGCATTGAGCTTTTAACTTTTCCTCGGAGCACAACCAGGCCCTTGTCTTGTTTTCCCAGATTAGCCAGGTACTGCCTGATCTGGAAGTTGGATGGTGCACAGGTGTCCAGACCAGGTGTCCATCGCCTTGCATTTCTGCCTTAAAATCCTCCTTATGTCATCCGGATGGACATGGAGGCTGCCTCAAGCTGTAAAAAAAAAAAAAAAAAAGAGGTTTAACTTAAAGATGTAGAAGAGGCTCTGGACTCAAAAGCAAATAAAAAAAATGAATCTGGAAATTGCTCTTGGGATGAGGCCAGTAAGATCGGGCTGGAGCCTAATGTTTTGGGTATGGCAGCTTCTCACTCACTTAGCAAACAGGTTCTCAGAGGCAGGCACTGTGGGAGCTATCAAGACGAAAGAGCTATGCGGTCTGGAAGACCTCAGGGTCAGAGAGGGGAGAGGAGACAAACTGCAATGAGTAAAACAACACAGAACCAGAAGGGGGTCGCATGGCAGGACGCAGGCACGTCCTACGTGCTTCCAGGGCAACGACGAGCCACGGCTTTAACCTAATGATCTTTCAGGACCACGCACTCCATCCCCATAGGTGCCAGAGCTCAGGTTTTCCTCCGCCCAGACCAGGAGCCAATTCTCTGCGCAAGGCCCCCAGGTTCCCCCATTCCACCGCGGGGGCTTCGGTGACGGTGACAAGAGACGGTACAGAGACCACAGGCATCTTGGGCCTAGTTGGGCTTCGGAGGCGCAAGATGGGGGCGGGGTGGTTAGGAAGTCCCAACACGGTGTCTGGGACAGGAGGGGGCAGCCTCCTCCTCGCGACACCGTCTCTCCACTCCCTTTCTTCCCCGTCCTCCAGTCCGCCGCAATGCAACCGCAACAACAGTGGGGAGGGGGCGACCAGAGCAGCCAGAAGGAGCGGGCGGGGGTTAGAGGTCAGGGGTCGCGAGCGCTTCGGTGTCACCGGGGCTGCAGTGGGAGGAGCTGCGGGCTCGGGGAAGGCGGGGAGCCGGGCCGAAGGGGGCGGCGGGGGGTGGGGGGGACGGTGGCGGAGGCGCGCAGCCGCGGCGCGCCAGGCTGGGCGCTGGCGGCGAGGGGGTTACGCGCCTCGGCTCGGCTCGGCTCGGCTCAGCGGAGGAAGGCTGAGCTCTGCCGCCGGGGCCCTGCAGCGAGCCCGATCGGCCCCGCGCCGCGCCCCGCCCACCCCACCCCGCGGAGGGCGCGCCCGGGCGAGGCGGGGCCGGGAGGAAAAGGCGCCACCGGAGAGTGGCGTCCGCTACCATCGCCGGAGGGAGATCGAGAGCCCCCTGAGGCCCAGCCCACCGGCGCCAAGGCTCCCCTTTTCTTAGGCTACCTTTCGCCCGCCTCCTGCCGCGAGCCAAGGCCGGCTCCCCGCCCGGAGATGGGCAGAAGCGCGGATGGCGTGGCTCCCAGCGCCGCCAGATCGCAGGAGCCCGGCGCCGGGGCGCTGCGCTGAAGCTCCCGATCGGCGCAGCCTGGGAAGCCTGCAGGTGTCCTTGGCCGCTCGGCCGCCGGAGCCCAGAACCCCGCGCCCCAGAGCGGCTCCGCCCCCCAGGCTCGGCGCTGCGCAGGACGCCCCGTCTGAGCCCCCCCCCACCCCGCCCCAGCACGGCCCCCGCTGCGCAGCGCCAGCCCAGCGCCGCTCCCAGCCGCTGCCGAGCGGCGGACGCAGGACCGGAGGCTCGCTCCTGCGGGCGCGCTTGTTTTCCTGCGGCCGCCTCGCCCTGCGCAGCCCCCGCCCGCCTGAACGCCGCGCTCCGCTCAGCCCCGCCCGCCTTCCGTGCCCTGCGCTGGATTTATGAATGGGGGGAAGAGGCCACATGCCGCCGCCGCCGCCGCGTGCTGACCGCAAGCACCCCGGGCCCGCGGAGCTCCGGCTGCCGTGAGAGCGTCGGCCCGGCCCCCGCAGCCGCTCCGAGGACTTGTTGCTGCTGCGCTGCCGCCGCCGCCGCCGCCGCCGCGGGGAAGCCGGCCGCTCCCGGGACTCGGCTCGGTCTGGGAGAGCCGGAGGGTGGCCCGCGTGAGTGTGAGCGCGCGTGCGCGCCCCGGACCCTCGCAGTGCGCCTGGACTGTGCGCTAACTCGCCTTTTGGGGGTGACGGGGGGGCGTGTCCAGAGCCCGAGCGTCTGAGTGTCCAGTCCTAGCCGGGGAGGTGTGTGTTTGCCCCTGCCTCCCCGGGTCCCTCGCCTGGGTCCTCGGCTCGCCTTTTCCCTCCTTGCCTCCGCCGGAGCTGCCTGACCAAACCCCAACCACCTGTGCACCCGAGAAACCCAACTCCTCCTGCTCCGCGCCCCGGGGGGAAGAGGCAGGGGCAGGGCCAAGCCGCAGAGGGGGCCGCCGCCGCCTCCTGCCTCCTCCTCGCCTCCTCCCCCTCCCCCGTCTGACGCTGCCTCCTCGGGAAGGGTGTTTGGAGGGCAGCGGCCGCCCCAAGCCGAAGCCCCGCAGCGCTTCTTATGATCAGCTCGGTGTGTGTCTCCTCCTACCGTGGGCGCAAGTCGGGGAACAAGCCTCCGTCCAAAACATGTCTGAAGGAGGAGATGGCCAAGGGCGAGGCGTCGGAGAAGATTATCATCAACGTGGGCGGCACGCGACATGAGACTTACCGCAGCACCCTGCGCACCCTACCGGGCACCCGCCTCGCCTGGCTGGCCGATCCCGACGGCGGGGGCCGGCCCGAGTCCGATGGCGGCGGTGCAGGCAGCAGCGGCAGCAGCGGCGGCGGGAGCTGCGAGTTCTTCTTCGACCGGCACCCGGGCGTCTTTGCTTACGTGCTCAACTACTACCGCACGGGCAAGCTGCACTGCCCCGCCGACGTGTGCGGGCCGCTCTTCGAGGAGGAGCTCACCTTCTGGGGCATCGACGAGACCGATGTCGAGCCCTGCTGCTGGATGACCTACCGCCAGCACCGCGACGCCGAAGAGGCGCTCGATATCTTCGAGAGCCCGGACGGAGGCGGCGGTGGCGCGGGGACGGGCGACGAGGCCGGCGACGATGAACGGGAGCTGGCCCTGCAGCGCCTGGGGCCCCACGAGGGAGGTGCGGGCCCCGGCGCCGGGTCCGGGGGCTGCCGTGGCTGGCAGCCCCGCATGTGGGCGCTCTTCGAGGATCCCTACTCCTCCCGGGCGGCCAGGGTGAGTGGCAGGAGCCTGGGTCTCCTCTCGGGTGTGCAAGGGGACCCGTGGCGGTGGGAATAAGGGGCCGGCAGGAGCAGGCAGACACTGATTTACCTTGCCTCTGCCTCCCTCCCAATTCCCTCCGGCTTCCCTGGGCCCCCAGGGGACTCACAACCCGCCCCCCCAACACACACCCTCTCTCCTGCACGCCTCATCAGGAGATTGCACACACTTGACTTACTACTTGGACCTCATCCCAGCTGCCTGCTTTGCCGCATCCCCTCCGAGGGAGGGAGTGGGGTACCCTTAGCTGAGCTCTTCCACCCCCTTCTTTATGCGCAGGCCTTCTCTCTTCACTGACACCCCCCCCCTCCTCTGCAGGGCCAGCGTCCTGGAGAGCTGGAATTAGGCCTCCTGCTGGAGGCAGGCAGGGTTTGGGGGAAGAAAACTGGATGTGTTAAGCGCCTACTCTGTGGCAGGCCGCTGTATCAGCTCCTTCCATGCATGCCACCTCCTCTGAATGCTCGGGGCAGCTCCCTGTGCTGTGAAGTGTGAGTTTTGTAGCGGGGACACCAGCTTCAGGCCATGGCAGACAGAGCTGGGACCAGAACCCAGGCCTCTCATCCAGGTTTCCGGAGAACCCTTCTTTCAGGGAGATAAGTCAAGATGTCTGCCCCATGCCATGCCCTTAAGGCTTCCTGGTCACCTGGGATAGCCTGGCTTCAGTTCGACAGGAAGGGCCTAATGTTTTGGGCGCTGCAGCCTCCCGCGGTCAGTGGCCAGCCTGTGATGATCCCAGATTTGTTGCCACTTCTTTTCTTCCTGCTGCGGCACCAATTGGCTTCCCAGAAAGCCCCGGTTCAGGTTACTGCTTGAAGCGGATATATGGGGGGAGAGGGGGGTGGCATAGGTTGATCTAGGCAAGGTCTGGGTCCCTTCCCGCCATTCCCTCCCCAAGTCGATCCAGTTTCTCCCAACCCCTTTAGGTGAAAGGGGGTAGAGGAGCGGAGATATGCTTGGACAGCTTTAAAAATTCTTTAAAAAAAAAAAAAAAGAGAACCCTGGGGGCTGGTGTCTGGCTTCCCCCGTTGGCAGCCTGAAGCCTGGCTGGGGTCTGTCGGAGACAGGAAAGAGCAATATGTATTGGGTCTGGGGACTGCCTCTTGCTGTGGAAGCTGGTCCTCACCTCTGGCCTCCCAAGTTGTGTTAATGAGTCTCAGAGCTCTGTCACCCTCCCCAGCATCTCCTTGGCTGGGCCTCCACCTAGTCATGGAAGGAAGAGTTCTACTTCCCCACCCAGGGGAGGAGGGGAGACCGAAATGGGGCTGTAGGTCAACACCAGACCGGGGCAGATGCAGTTCCTGCCTGAGGAACAGAAGTCTCCAGGGCCGAGGCCTACCAGGCTGGGGCTGCAGGCATCCCCAGGGCAGCCTGTGGAGGGCAGAGACCTTTTTCAGGACTGAGAGCTGAAGCCAGGGGCCAGCTGCCTTTGTTTCTTCTCATACAGTCCTGAGATCAGCTCAGAGGGTGAGGGCCAGGTCATGCCCTGGCATGGGTCTGCTGTGGGTTCTGGGGACTTCTCATGCACTTCACTGACCCTGCTCGTGTCGGCTCAAGGCTGTGTGCACTAGGGGAGAGTGACAAGTGTGGATAGTTCACGTTCTTCCCAAGTTGGGGGTGAGAGGGGGAGCCGGTAGGGAGGCAGTAATGAGACGGGGTGGTCAGGAGAGCTAGGTCCTATTTCTGAGCATTCTGGGGTCTCTGGGGCACTTTTCACCTTCTCTGGTTCTTCTCTTTTGGATTCCAAGGGACTGTGCCATCCATGAGTTTATGTTCTGCTCGACAAACCCCAGGGAGGATCAGCCGGGGGCGGGGGGGGGGTGCTCTCTGAGTAAGCTCAGAGCCTAGCTGGCCCTTTCAATTCCTCCAGGAGCCCAAGATATTTGCCCTTTTGATATCAGCCATTCCAGTTGAGGACCAGGCAGGATTAATTCTTCGTATTGAAGCAACGAAGAAACCAGGATTCAGAGGTGTTCAATGTTGTCAAACACAGTTAAGGAACAATAGAGCAGGATGCCTTCCCTAGTTTTCCAACTTTCTGGTTGTGAATACTGATGTGAACAGCTGTATGGAGCTTAATGGCGCTTGTCCCAGAAGAGGACTTGCCTCCTGCTAAGGAGTACAAGGCAGAGGCCAGCCCTTTGGTTCAGCGGTTCCTGGGACAGACAGGTGGGAATACATCATCTAAAAAAATTAATAACTGCTATTAACTGTACTTTGCATTAAGCTCTAGTCCTCCCAGTAAACGTAGAGTGCAGCTATCCTCCCCGTCTAATGGATTGGGGCCGTGAGAGGGTAAAGATCTTGACTGATATGACCCAGCCAGATAGCGGCATGCTGTGAGTCCAAGCCCTGCTCCTCCGATTGCAACGTGTTCTTTCCACCGAACGCGGCTCTTCTTGAGATGGAGAGGTGCCTTGTTTCTTATTCTGGCCTGGAAGGTGTTCTGAGGTTCTGTACCTCCTGTGGGTGACATCAGAAAACCCAGGGGCAGATGGGGACATCCGCAGGGATGTCGGCTCTGTTACGCCTCCAGGCCTGAGGTGTAGGCGTTCTGGGGCTGTGGCCTCCCTACCTACCCTGTTTCCCCCAGGCCAGTACCACGGCCCCTCCAGCACCAGCCCCTGGGTCGGTGTGCGTACCTCCCCTGCTCGGGGGCCTGCAGCCTCGGCCATGGCCTTGGGGCGTTCACTGAAGGCCAGTAGGGCAGAGGAGTTCCGCTCCGCCCCAGGCGTCTCTCTGCACACAGCAGCTGGTCATCTGAGGAGTGCGTTATGACAGGAGCAAAGCAGATACAAACGGAAAGTGAACTGAGCTGATGGTGGAGCCTGTTGCCTAGCCACTGGCCTGGTCTGCAGAGCCACTCCCCATCTGGCAGGCTCTAGGCAGGCCCGGGTGCTCACCCCTGCTCCCCTCACCGTGGCCGGGCCCATGGCGGCCACTGCTGTGGTTCCGTTTCTGTGGCCTGAGCTGGGAGTAGGCACGACGGGCAGGCTGGTCCTGTCCCCACCTGCCCAGTGCCCAATCGTCCCGGGCTCAGCCGCAGCCAGGCGGCTTCCCAGACTGAGGGGGGACCAGCGGGGGTTTGGGCAGTATTGAGAGCGGTAAAATAAGCCCTCCTCTTTTCCTGAGGGCGGACAGGAGGCCTGATGAACGGGATCCCGGGACACTCCTCTCTCTCTCACCCCCAACCCCTTGACGACCCAGGGGTGAGACTGGCTTCAGCTCAGTTATCAGCCCTATTGAGAAGGATAGTCATTCTCCTTTGGCTAAATCCATACCTGGGTTAGTTTTCCCATAATGTTTCCCTTCTGAGGAGAGGGTGTGACCCAAGGATCCCTGGTGCCCCAAGGAGGCAGCTGGAGCTGGGTTTTCACCTGGGTTAAGCACCCACTGGCTGTCAGGTGCTCTCACCTCTGCTTTGCTCTAGGATCTCATCTGGCCCGTGTGAGGCAGGGATCATTCACCTCAGTCTACAGTGAGGGAAACTGAGGCCTGGAGGGGCTTGCCCAAGGTCACGCAGCTGGCGGCGGAACTAGGCTCCAAACCCAGATCTCGTGAACCCACGTCTGTGTTTGTACCATACCTGCAGAAGGCCTCTGACTTCCGCGGGCCCCAGAGGGGGCCTTCTGCTCTCCTCCCATCTGTCTCCTGACTTCTCTCTCCAAACTAAAGCTCCCATCCCCTCACTCCTTAGAATTGCTCGCCTCTGACCTTGCTCTCTATTTCTGCCTCACTGTGGGACTTTAACAAAAAGAAAGCGGACTTAATACGAGAGGAGACTAGGTGTCCACTGGCCCAGGCAGCGGAATGAAACAGAGGCCTTCTCTGAAAGAAATGCAGAGCTCTATTCCTGCTCATCGCCTCTGGAGGGCCCCAGCTTCTCTGGCCTGGGCCTTGCCTGGGACTAGCCCAGCGGTGGGCAGGACCCTTGGGTCCCAAGCCCGTGGGGCTAGGGAGAGCCAGGAAACCAAGCCTGGGAGGCAGGGTGCCCTGTCTTCCCCAGCCCCCCAGGAAGGGAGTGCCAGCATGCGCCTTCCCAGGAGCTGGAGGGGTGTCAGGCCAAGTCTGCTGGTCTCTCCCTGAATTGCCCTGAGGCAGCCTCCCAATCTCCTCCTGGGTTTGTTTTGTGATTTTTTTTGTTCTGAACAGACCAACATTTGCCTCTGAACATCTTGCCGCCGGATAATGAGGTGTTTCTGTTTGTCACCATTTGGGGTGGGGTATAAAGTGGGGGGGGGGGCTAAAATAAACTCGGGCTATTTTGGGGAGATGGGGGAAGAAGAGGCAGGAACATAGCCAGGCAGTTGGGCCTTGGGAACAGGGAGTCCCCAGGCCCCTGGCGTCCACCTGTGGACGGTGCTGGCTTGGCATGCTGGGCACCAGGGTGCTCATATCATCTTTGTTCCTGGGCAGCCAGCCTACCACCACCTCTGGCCCAGGTCTCTGCTAGGGTATTTTTTCAGGCTGGGTGATGGTGATGCAGACCCTGGCAGGGGGCTCCATCGAGCAGTGGCCTTGGCCCACCCTGGAAAGCCACAGGAGTCTGAGAGCCCATGTGCCTGGAGGTATTGCTGGGCATAACCTGTCCCCTCTGGCCCCAGTTAGTGGGGCTGGCCATGTCTCCTCGTGACAGGCTCCCCAGGACCAGGAGAAGAAGCAGGCCATCACCTTGGCTCCAGTCATTCAGAAAACATTTATTGAGTACTTACTACATGCCAGACACCAAGCTGGGCCCTATAAATATAAAGATGAGTCAGACATGGTCCCTGTTCCTGAAGAGAGCTAGGTCAGGTGGAGTAGGTAGCAGCTGAGGGAAATTATGTGGCAAGGAATAGTAATAATAATACAGGAAAGATCATGAGAGGTGCCACAGGAGTCTTAAAAAATAAAGTCCAATAGGAGGTGTGAGGAAAAAGCGATAAATTCCAGCCCTACGTGAGGTGAGGCAAGGCGGG